TTTTCCAAGGGCAAATAGAAGAGAACTAATTTGCTTACCTCAGTGGAGGGGAATGCAACCGGTCTTCTTAGCCATGAAGCCCCAGGGGCCCTGTGTCAGGCCCGTGCCAAGGTCCTGTCCACCCCTCTTCTCTCCCAGTCCCCAGAAGTTTGGCCAGCTTGCTTTTCTGTCCATCTGCCACCATCTACTCTTCCACATGGGTTCTTTCTCCCTCCACCTGTCTTCATTTTCCAGAATCCTAGAGGAGCAGGCCACAAAATAGATTCTCTGTTTTGAGACTGAAGATTTTTAAGATCTTAAGATTTTTGTTTTAAACCAACAACTGCAGGAGAACAGGGAAAGATTAATAGGAGGAAATCCAATGCATTTTTTTAAACATAAAGAGAATTATAGAAAACTGTCTAGAACTACTTAAGGCTGTAAATGGATCTAAATCATTTGCATTTATTCCGCTTCTCGGATTACTTCCATAATAAGGATAGTAATATTGATGTAAAGATCACTTACTAGGTGGAAATTACTTTCATACATTGTTGCATTTAATCGCTAGTGTAACTATGGAAGCTGCATATTATATTATTTCATGGATATGGAAATAGAGGTTCAGAAAAGTGAAGAAGCTCACCCAAGGTCAACCAGCTAAGATATAGGACCTACCACGCAGGATTGTTGTCTTAAATGAGTTAATATTTGTTAAGTGCTTAACAGTATCTAGCATATAGTAAATGTTATATAAGTCTTAACTAATATTAATAGAAAGCAACAGGTCCAAGATGCAAATTCAGATTGGTATGACTCCAAAGATCACATAGTTTGAATGCCCTGCACTGCTTATGCATTAGTTTCAGCGGGGGCAGGAAAAAGTAGTCCTAACTCCTCATTACATCAGTCTAATATTCCTTGAGTGTAGTTACTAATTCTGATTTTCCCTCAAAAAAATTTTATTACTCAGTCACAAACGCTTCTCTCTCACCAAAGCCTGGGGATCCTGTTTAGGTGGAAAATAAGTAAATACCTACTATGCCATTCAAGGGACCCTCACATAAATTGGATTCATTTAAATCATTAGGAAAGGGGCACTTGGGTGGCTCAGTCAGTTAACCGTCTGCCTTCGACTCAGGTCATGATCCCAGGGTCCCGGGATCGAGCCCCCCCCAGTCGGGCTCCCTGCTCAGCGGGGAGTCTGCTTCTCCCTCTGCCTTTGCCACTCCTCCTCCACTCGTGCTCTGTGTCTTGCTTTGTCTCTCTCAGATAAATAAAATAAAATCTTAAATAAAAATATATATGTAAAAAAATAAATCATTAGGAAAAATTGTGACAGAAATCCCAACCTTAACATCATGCAGGAGAAATTCACCTTGGGTTAGTCTTCCCACAAAAGCAAAATCATCTGAGTGCCACAAGAGAAAAAAGTAAGGTTGGTTCAAATGGTTCCTTTTTCCCATCACCCACACGCAGCTCTCCCAGAGGAACAACGTAGCTCCCATAAGAATCCAACCCCTATAAGCAAAAGGAAAAATAGTGGATGGACCTGTGATTGCAAAAGAAGTTTCCATATTCAGTCAGATAGAAAGATTGGTCATATGTTTTTACTTTTTGACTTTTTCTTGGTTCAAAAATTTTAAAGGGTAGGGACGCCTGGGTGGTTCAGTAGGTTGAGCATTTGCCTTCGGCTCGGGTTGTGATCTCGGGGTTCTGGGATCGAGTCCCACATCCGGCTCCTTCCTCGGCGGGGAGCCTGCTTCGCCCTCTGCCTGCCGCTCCCCCTGCTTGTGTGCTCTCTCTCTCTCATTCCCCCTCTCTCTGACAAATAAATAAAATCTTTTAAAAAAATGTTTTTAAGTATAAAAAAGCATGAAGTGAAAACTCTCCCAGCTCTGTCCCCTTTCTCCTAGTTCCCACTTCTGTATTCCCCCATAACCACTGCTGTTTCCGGAGTGTCCTTTCAGAGTTTCTTTATACATATGCAAATAAACATGAATATATTCATTCTTTTTCCCCTCCCCCTTCACACAAAAACACACGCAGCATTAATTGTTCTTTTGCTTTTTATTTTTGACTTAGCAATAGGATTTTGGAGATCTTTCCATATTGGTACATAGAAAATGTCCTCATTCTTAAACTATATAATACTCTTTATTAGTTCAATCCATAATTAACATAACCAGTCTCCTCTAGATAGACCTTTAGGTTGTTTCTTTTTATTTTAAAGGAAATTTTATTTTATTTTATTTTATTTTATTTTATTTTATTTTATTTTATTTTATTTTATTTTATTTTTAGAGAGAGCAAGCACGAGCAGCAGAGAGGGGAGGGGTGTAGAGGGAGGGAGGGAGAGAAAATCTTAAGCAGGCTCCTCTCACCCAGCACGGAGCCCAACACAGGGCTCAGTCTCACTACCCTGAGATTATGACCTGAGCTGAAATCAAGAGTCAGACGCTCAGCCAACTGAGCCATCCAGGCGCACCCATTTAGGTTGTTTCTACTCTTTTGCTCCTATAATACTATGATGAATAGGACTGGATCAATACACTTTAATTTACTGAATGTTTAAAGCAATGTGTTACCATTACTTTCAGCAGAAGTAACTTTCCTGTAAGACATTTCCAAATACAAACCCCTTGAGATTGGCTTTAATAATGAGCCCTATTTCTAATAGGAAATATTATTTACATGAGAAAATTAATGTTTCAAAATGGTCAATTTTATTTTGTCCTTTTAAGTATTTTGCTGCATGTTTATTTACACTTATATAATTAGGTTAATGGGCATTTTGCCCTGGAAAATATCAGCCCAGAACAGAATTAATCATCATGAATTTTAAATTAATAGAGTTTGGAATAGAGAAATATTTTACTTAATCTTCTAAATTGTTGTTTTAAACTCTGTACAGAGAACTCTGAATTCTATATGTATTTACAACATTGTCAGCTTTAATTGGAATACTCAGAGTAGTAGTCTTTTTCTTAAAAAATTTAAAGTGAGGGAATTATTTTTAAAATTAGTTTATGTACAAATGCATTGCTTTTATGATTTGCTTCTTAGCAGATTCATCTAGAATTCAGGCTAGATTTGAGGTGAATTTCAAAAATTATTGCCAATACCAAATGTGACAATTTAATACGTATTTCCATTGTGAGCTAGGTGTTTTTTCCTGTCTGTCTTAACGTCAATTAGTAAACAACCCACTTGGAAAGCTGTAGTGTTATCAATTGGTATGAAGAGCAATGCCTCCCTTCAAGAAATTGAAATCTGGGGGCGCCTGGGTGGCTCAGTCGTTAAGCGTCTGCCTTTGGCTCAGGTCATGATCCCTGGGATTGAGCCCCGCGTCGGGCTCCCTGCTCAGCCAGGAGCCTGCTTCTCCCTCTCCCCTGCTTGTGTCCCCTCTCTTGTGGTGTCTCTCTCTCAAATAAATAAATAAATAAAATCTTAAAAAAAAAAAGAAACTGAAATCTGATTGAGAGGACAAAATATTCATTAAAAGAACAGCAACATATATAATGGAATATTGTGCAGCCATCAAAAAACGAAATCTTACCATTTACAACGACATGGATGGAACTGGAGGGTATTATGCTAAGTGAAATAAGTCAATCAAAGAAAGACAATTATCATATGATCTCACTGATATGAGGAATTTGAGAAACAAGACAGAGGATCATAGGGGAAGGGAGGGAAAAATGAAACAAGATGAACCAGAGAGGGAGACAAACCATAAGAGACTCTTAATCTCAGGAAACAAACTGAGCGTTGCTGGAGTGGTGGGGGTGGGAGGGATGGGGTGGCTGGGTGATGGACATTGGGGAGGTTATGTGCTATGGTGAGCACTGTGAATTGTGTAAGACTGCTGAATCACAGACCTGTACCTCTGAAACAAATAATACATTATATGTTAATAAAATTAATTAATTAATAAAAAATAAAAGAAAAACAACAGCAAGGTAACAGCTAAAAGTTAAATAGCACTTGCCATGTGCTGGACACCATGCTGAGTACTTTACAAATGTTAATTCACTACAAATTCACAAAGAACCCTACCAGTACAATTATCCATTATGATCGTTCCATTTTACAGATGAGGGAATTGAGGCTTAGGGTGGTTGAATACCGTAGCTAGAGTCACACAGCTGGTAGTGGAAAAGGTGGCATTCAGATTCAAATTGTCTGGGGAGGCCACGCATGTAACCAGCCCTCACTCTGCCTCTTGTGTATGGTGGCATTCAGACAGTAAAGCAAAAGGACTCCAGAGAAGGCAAAGACCTTAGTGGTCAGGGAGAGTTTCGGAGGGAACAAGACTAAGCACTGGGGAGCACATTCCAAACCTCCCTGCCTCTACTGTGAGCACTGCAGAAGGACAGCATTTCATTTTGGTTTCTCTGGCTTTTCGCACAATAAATACCCTAAGAATAAGAACACATTGCAGGAAGAGAGTTGTTAGGCAAGAATGGCCATGGCGTTCGGGGTGGACACTGAGGAGACCTATTTAAGTAAAGTGACGTTAACATATAGAGAAGTGGCAGGGGTAGGCAGGTTAGGACCAAATCACACACGCTCTATATGCCAGCCGGAGAATTCAGGCCTTATCCTCTGCAGCAACACCTCACACACTGTAATGTTTACTGAAATCAGCTGGGGTCTTGTTAAATGCACATTCTGATCCAGCAGACCTGGGGGTGGGCCCAAGAGCCCTCATCTGTTGTAAGCTTTGAGTGATGCCGATGCTGCTGGTCTCAGGACCACACTAGCAAGACTCTAGTCTCCGGCAGCAAGCAGCCTTCGGAGCAGGGGATGTGGATGGGGGCAGTGGGAGTGACGGAAAGCCGCCTGTGGTACCTCCTCCAGGTTGTGGCCAACAACTTTAAAGACTTAGAGACCTACAGTATTTTATTCAGTCTGGTTTATAGAGCCTCTCTCTATATGCCCCACCCCTTCTTTCAGAGGCCAAGATGTCTTGCCTTAAGAAATGTTTTAAAACCACACTTTTGCTTCTTTTTATACAGAGCAAGGCTAAAGAGCTCCCACTCTCGGCTGTACGTTTTATGGAAGAACTGGGTGAATGTGCCTTTGGAAAGATCTATAAGGGCCATCTCTATCTCCCAGGCATGGACCATGCTCAGCTGGTTGCCATAAAGACCTTGAAAGACTGCAACAACCCCCAGCAATGGACAGAATTTCAACAGGAAGCCTCCCTGATGGCTGAACTACACCACCCCAATATCGTCTGCCTTCTAGGGGCCGTCACTCAGGAGCAACCGGTGTGTATGCTTTTCGAGTATATGAATCAGGGGGATCTCCACGAGTTCCTTATCATGCGATCCCCACATTCCGATGTCGGCTGTAGCAGCGACGAAGACGGGACCGTAAAATCCAGCCTCGATCACGGAGATTTTCTGCACATTGCGATTCAGATTGCAGCCGGCATGGAGTACCTGTCTAGTCACTTCTTTGTCCATAAGGACCTTGCAGCTCGCAATATTTTAATCGGGGAGCAGCTTCATGTAAAGATTTCAGACCTTGGGCTTTCCAGAGAAATATACTCTGCTGATTACTACAGGGTACAGAGTAAGTCTTTGCTGCCCATTCGCTGGATGCCCCCTGAAGCCATCATGTATGGCAAATTCTCATCTGATTCCGATATCTGGTCCTTTGGGGTTGTCTTGTGGGAGATTTTCAGTTTTGGACTGCAGCCGTACTACGGATTCAGTAACCAGGAGGTGATCGAAATGGTAAGAAAACGACAGCTGTTGCCATGCTCCGAAGACTGCCCGCCCAGAATGTACAGCCTCATGACAGAGTGCTGGAATGAGATTCCTTCCAGGAGACCCAGATTTAAAGATATTCACGTCCGGCTTCGCTCCTGGGAGGGACTGTCCAGTCACACCAGCTCTACGACCCCTTCGGGAGGAAATGCCACCACGCAGACCACCTCCCTTAGCGCCAGCCCAGTCAGTAATCTCAGTAACCCCAGATATCCCAATTATATGTTCCCGAGCCAGGGTATTACGCCACAGGGCCAGATTGCTGGTTTCATTGGCCCACCAATACCTCAGAACCAGCGATTCATCCCCATCAATGGATACCCAATACCTCCTGGATATGCAGCATTTCCAGCTGCCCACTATCAGCCAACAGGCCCTCCCAGAGTGATCCAGCATTGCCCGCCTCCCAAGAGTCGGTCCCCGAGCAGCGCCAGTGGGTCCACGAGCACTGGTCATGTGACCAGCCTGCCCTCTTCGGGATCCAACCAGGAAGCCAATATTCCCTTACTACCACACATGTCGATTCCAAATCATCCCGGTGGAATGGGTATCACCGTTTTTGGCAACAAATCTCAAAAACCCTACAAAATAGACTCAAAGCAACCATCTTTGCTAGGAGACTCCAATATTCACGGACACACCGAATCTATGATTTCCGCAGAACTGTAAAATGCACGACTTTTGTAAATGTGGTATACAGAAAAAACTAGAAAGCCGTAGAAAAGATTTAAATTCAAAAAAAAATTTTTTTTTAATTAAAGTAAGGTTCTCATTTAGCAGACATTGCAACAAGTATCTTCTGTGAAGTTTAACTGTCTTACCAAGCAGGGCAGACACCAGCCAGGAAAAAAAAAAAAAAAAAAAACCACACTTTGTGGGATTAACACTCCATCAGGGATACATGACATGGCATTGGGATTGGGACATCTGGTTTCAGGTACTAAAAACTGCAAACCAGTGAAGAGGAAAAGAATTCTGTGATTAAATATCAAACCAAAAAGGAAAGTCAAATGGTGCTTTGTGTATTTGCCTTCGTTCTCCATGACTGGTCTCTCCCCAAAATGTATATATCATAGCATTTGTCTACCTGCTGTCTTATCTTCAGGACAAATGTTCAAGAATTATGTTGATTCAATTTAGACTCTGTGCATACTTGTATGGAAATGATATTCAGAATCAATGAGGAAACTAGGCAAAATTTTGAAATCCCAGATGGAAACGAGCCATAAGACAAGTGTAAGATCCCCCGAAGCCTTCTACACAGTGGGGCTTCCTTGGGAAGGTGCAGAGTGTGCCTCTTTGTGAATCTCCTCTGCTGATCACGAAGGCCTTTTCCACAGTGTGTTTACACAAGCGCTTGAAATAATATAGGGCCTCAGAGCATAAGAAGGCTAGATGCGGATGCTGGAATTGATTGTTGGTTGATAGTTCACTCCGTTGCATTAGAAATGAGGAACCAAAGGAAGCAAAGTCAGGAAAACGGCCCCTCGGCCCAGATCAGCACCCATGGGAGAGGAACAAGGGTGCCCATGGGGACAGCCTCACAGGAGCTTCCCTGGACCGAGAACATTGAAGAAGAGAGGTGTGGCTGCAAAGCAGTGCATCAGTGCTTACAACCTCCTGCATAGGGGTTGTCCAAGGTGTAGGGTGCTCACCATCAATGAACTCTGGGGAAGTAGGAAACTATGACACCGATATCTAAAGTTTCTCTCACCTTTTTTTCTGATCTGGAAATGTTCATAGATGTTATTCCAGCACCAGAAGTTATGACAGTTTATTCATAGAATTAGTTGGAATCCAAAGACTATGAATTCTATTTTGCAAAATATGACAGTATTTAAAAAAAAAAAAAAGGTACTGGGTTCTCATTTCAAAGATTACCATGAACTGAATTTTTTAAGCTGGTGAATAGAAGCAGCATAATCATTTTTGCCTTAGTTAGGAGGGAGGCATCAAATGTGCATCTCATGCCACTTACCCGCTAGCCATCTTTTGCCAAGTTTAGAATTCTTATGGGTTTCAAGTTCTATATAGAAAGGAATGTTATGTTTGATTTTTTTCTCTTGTTAAAAAATAACTCCTTTATTCTAAGAACAGTGTCTCAAGGTCTCTCTCCCTCTCTCTCTTTTTTTTTAATTTTACAGCTTAAGAGACTTATAAAGAGACTTACAGGATATAAAATAATTCCTGGAAATGATATTTGATGAGGAGAATGCAAAAGAATTAGAAGCACATTGATGTTTCAATTTTGTAAAAAAAAAAAAATGCAATTAGGATGATAAATCAGGGAAGTATGTTTATCAAATGTGTTGCAATTTTCCCAAACACTGAATCTTCAAACAATAAATATAGACTTATTGGTACTGTGAACTCAAAGAATTGGCTATATCCAGTTTTATTTGGGAGATAAATTAAGAAATATTTTTGTGACATAAATAACCTGATTCAAAAGTTACATTTCTTAACTTTAGGTAGAGGAGAATATTTGTATCCTTTTGTTGCTATGCAACTGTTTAATGATGAAGATTCAAACCACAATTTTGTATATCATACGACAATCAGTTGTTTTCCAAGAATATTTATTATTTTAAGTAAACACAATTTCAGTGAATCTGAGTTTTTCTAGGAGTCCCTTAAAGGGAAATTAGCATTCCATGAGCCAGTAAAATACCTACTCTGGAAAAACATTACTATGGTTAAAAAAATAAACTCAAGTTAGTTTTTTATAAAGAACTATAACATTTATTTTAAACATTTTATAATTACTGAGGCCATTAAGGTGAGCAAACCAAATTTCAAAACCACTTGTAATAATGTATTTTATAATAGCACTGTGATACTACATAACACAGTCCCTTTTGTATTAAATAGTATTTTTTTCACAAACTAAAAAATACCTTTCGCTTTGTTGACAATGTTTTGTAAGATGACTTTATTTTCAGATCTTTTTTTCTTTTTTTTTCTTGCACAAAACTATGTTTATGGTTTGTATCACAGAAGTGAAAATATATCTCTGCATTTTTATATCCGGTCTGTTTCTTTGTTTCCTTTGTTTATTTCTTTTTAACTCGATACGGATTTTCTTAAAATATATCGTGGCTGTCTTGCGCTCCCATATCTTTTCTTACTTTCACTGCATGCATTTAATCACTGTATTACTTAATGTTTGGTTTGTTATTATGGGCATTTCAAATAGACAAGCATGGATGTAATGACAAAAAGGCTATTTTATATTGAGGATATGTGCATTTGTATTTCACACACCAGAGATGATATTAAACACTGATTACTTTATGCTGCTGTTTATTAAAAATGTTTACCATATAATACTATTTCCTGAATATTGCTATCATGGAGGTATTTGGGAATTTTAATATTATTTCTCCTAATTATTGACATTTCATAGAAAAAGGAATCACAATTCCTATTTACTGCTATTTCATTGAAATGATTTTTTTCTTTTTTAAGTAGACTCTTAACATAGACTTGGGCATTCTTTTGCCAGCGACCACAGGTGGAAGGGAAAATCCCAATGATTTTATGACCATATACTATCCAACCATATAGATTTTAGTTTTTAAAATCAAAATAATATATTGAATAATTACAACCAAATGGAATGTAAAAATTGGTTTTTCAAAGTTGCATCCTTTTCTGCCTTGTTTCCATGTGAACTTAGACATCAAAAATCATGTCTTAGAACTCTGAAGAAGAAAAAGCTGTGTACATCTTATCATGTTCAACTTAGATTCCAACCATACTGATAAAATAAAAGAAATGTGGCCGTTTAATTGTCACAGCTTATCTTTATGACCTTCTTTGCCCAAAAGAAAGAGTTCCCCATCTGGCAATTAATACACACTGTCAAGGAAAATGAGTATCATTATGAAAGTTCAAAGAACTTGTCCATGCTGCTATTTAATACAGAAGGGAGTACAATAAAACCTTCAGGGCCTTATCCATCTGTTTTAGGTACAGTTCTTGTCACCACCTCAGCAATCAAACTCAATAAAGCAGTCACTTCACATGGCCGTGAGATCGATGTCAGGGTGGGTTTCTCCCTCTCGCGTGAATTCCTCAGTCTGCCCTTCACTCCTATTTCCTTCTGTCTCTCCGGGCTCTTCCCCTCCCACCAGCCCCAGTCCCTTCAGTTCCTGTGATTTGGGCCTTTAACCTTAGTTCCCTAATCACCAACATCTGCAAATTTGCAGCACCACCTCAGATAATGCCTAGTACAAACCACTAACTACTGATTAAAGGGAGCTCTGTTATCTACCTAGCCCAGTGGTTCACAGAGTGTGGTCCTCAGACTAGTGGCCCTTGGAACTTGCCAGAAATGCAAATTCTCAGGTCCGTCTTTGAAGCCCTGAATCAGAAATTCTGGGGGTGGGACCCAGCGATTTGTGTTTTAACAAGCCCTCCTGTATTCTAAAGATTGAGAATCACATTAAAGGCCTGGGGGTGGAAGGAGGGGAATGGTCATTACCTCCTTAGAAATGTATATATAAGCATTTAATAACATTTTAGCCACTTTAGTTCCCCTTAAGGAAAAATCAGATTGTATTTAATGAAAAACTTAGCACTAAAACCCTTTTTGCTTTAACGATTTGACAATGGTTCTATTTTTGTAGTTCTCTTGGATAGAAAACTAATAGCCCCAGCCTTTGACAAGACTACCTTGTCTAGTTCACTCAAGACCCATATTCTTGGAAAGTAATCAAAAGCTTTTCCCTTCATGTGGACAGGCTCAAAAGACTTGGTCTCTTAGTGTACCTTTGACTCCTTGCAGTTATGATTAACACAACTAAAAGAACTCTCTGTTGCAACATCACAAAGTTAGGGTCAGGCATAGGCTGGTCTTTCTTGGGAAGAGGAAAGATCCAGCTCCCAGTAAGCATCCAGCAGAAGCAGCTGCAGAGGCTCCCCCTCCCCTGAGCTTCCTGTGACAAGCTGACCCAGTTGGCTGGATCCAGTCACCTGTGGCGTGTTCCTCTGTGTTTCTTTGCCAGTGGCAGTCCATCAGTCCTTGCTGGCTGGCTGTGAGGAGTCCTGCTCAGACTATGCTCCCCACAGCTTTAGAGACAAAGCTCTGAGGGAGGACAGCAAGAAGGATCCAAAGGAGGTGCTAGAAGGGAAGCTCATACTCTTTTTAATTTATACAGCATTTTTTCTTTTCAACTAAGAGTTCAAATGCTGAAGAGGAAATGCTATATTAGAGGAGCAGGAGCAAGGGATCACACACATAAGAGGAAAATGTTTGCAGCCAAGATATGACTGCACCTGAAGCTTGTTACCATAAATGCCAAGAGTATTAAGGAGTCTGTTAACTCAGAGGAAGGAGAGCCTTACAAACCATCAAAGTACTCAAGGTCAATGTAATCCCCTGGGAAATTAGGCAGGGGTCTTAAAAAATAGAGACATACAGGGAGAAGGTCTGCTGACATATTTATGACTAGCTGAATCCCAAGCACCTATGAACTGCTTATTCACAAATGAGGACTATACCATTTGCTGACCAGGCCTGACACAGTGCATATGCTCACCAAAGTGACCAGGTTAGTAACTATTCTTATTTACTAACCAGGAATGGTTAAGTTAGGAGAAAGCCCTTTCTTCAAAATTAGATAGAACATTCCTTACACTTTGAGAAAGGCCAATACCCTGACATGCTGAATACAGATAATTCAGGGAATATTCAATGTGAAGGAAAATGGTTCTAAGTATCAGTCTTTGTGGACCTGTGCTCTTGACTGAAATTCAGATCACACACAAAACAACAGAACTGGCTGCATACAGCCGTAAGTTAGTGCTAAAGCTCTCCCTGACCTTAGAGGCACATG